TATATATATATATATATATATAACGTTCTAAAGTTTATTCTTATACTTAAAACATAATCTGATAACTGTTAAACCTCAAAGGTAGTAAACCCATAAAAACGACTGTCGAGTACTTTTGTTGATAAATAAATTGTGCAGTGGAAAAAAAAAAAGCAACAAAATACTCTCTAAAATGAACTGAAATTAAGAAGGTTATTTTGAAACTGTTGATCTCATGAATAATGTGAAGATTCTTCATGGAATAGTACAATCTGGTATAATTAACAAAAACTTATAGACTGAGTTTTGAGTTGTTAGATAAAAGAGTGAAATTCAAATCCTTTGTTGCACCAAGTATTTGTTAAGGTTGTTAAAACTATTGCTATATGTTGTACAAGGTTTAAAAAGTGCCTTTTTATTGTCACGTTGAATGTATAAAAATACAACCGTTTAAATTGAGAGTTATTTTAGGAAATGTATAGATGTTGTTGAAGTTATGACGATAATAGTAGGACTGTTTGTCTCTGTACCTCTCTATTCATTGTGGCTCTATTCTAGAGTCGTTTTGTTTTAAGTGCTTAAACGTGGAGAATTTGATAATACCGGTAGTTTGTTTATGAATTAGGTTTATTTAAAAAGCTAAAACATGGAGTAGTAACAGCTTTATTCTTGCCCAGTGAAGCCGCTGGACGTACATATAATGTATGCCAAGCCTTATATTTCTGCTGGTCAACGGGTCAGTGTCCAGTGTCGAACATCAGGGTCACGACCTGCTGCACATCTAGCCTGGTTCAAAGAAGGTCAGCTGATGGAAGGGAGCAAGGATGTTACTGACCGCAATGGGATCTGGACGATAAGTACTCTTGTGTTCACGCCATCTAGTGATGACAATGGAAAATATATTTCTTGTCAGACGATGAACCCTAATTTTCCTAATTTCACTCGTCAAGATGGTTGGAATCTGAATGTTTATTGTAAGTATTAACAACGGATTAGTTTTCTGAACTATTTTTTTTTACCTGTTCTATTGTCAAAATAATTTGTAAGACAGAACAGAAACAACAACAACAAAAAAAAAAAGCGGAAAAACTTTAGTTTTTCGCATTTATGCAAAAATTTATTTGACATTTTAAAATTATATTGTTTTACTTTCCGGTGTGTATATTCACTAAATATGTTTTTAATTATTTGATTCAAGTTTTTGCCAATAGGTACTGTAATACTCGGGTTGTTTTAGACTAATTAATTTCTCCTAAAGAGGGCCGAAAGCCGCCTGGAAGGGTCACCTGTTTTAACAACTTGCATCCGTATACAGTAGTGTGTTATCTGTCAGTCAGTCAGTAGACACTAAATGACTTCACATAAGGAACGATTAACGTTGCAATTTTTACTGTCGTGACGTTAGTAAAACATGCACATGCCATAAATCACGAAAAGAATTATGTACTCTGTAAGCTACAACACAGCATGACATATGAACTTCAAAAGCAAGAAATAAAAATATTTATGACTCTTAATTTTGGTTTTATTTACTCTTGAAACAGAACAATTTCGGGGACCTCGAGGAAGTACATGTATTATGTAAGCGCATTTTAAGTTCCTCGAATAGAGTGATACTATTATTTTAATAGAAATAACTTCAGCCATAAAAGTGAGCTTGTATAAAGTTTATTGGAAATTAACAGAGGTTAGGACTCCAAAAGGAAACAAATACCATTTAAAACTCCGAGATTTAGTGTTTAAGAAAGTTCTTAGAGTTTAGAAAATCCGTTTAATGAGAAATGCTGTAAAACGTTTTAGTAAGATTAAACGCGTTGTGTCAGAAGTGCGAAGTTGCACTGCCAATAAGTTAGTTCGAGAAATAACCCTATCTTTATGCGTTTATATCTCTCTGTCAAAATGAAGCTCAACTCATACTTTGGTTATACAAATGAATCCTTTTGCAATTGAGTGTTAATGTGAATGTCTCGCTACTAATACGTCATCTAATACGTCATCATATATATATATATATTTTAAAAAACATTTTTGTCAATTATTTGTTTGTCTTTATTTTAGCACTGAACGACACAGTACGTTACTTTTGTTATGTCAATAGGAGGGATCGAACCACTCTTTCTAGCGTTATGAACTTAACGTTGAGCCATCTTGTTATTTATCTTTTACCGTTCAAACAACTTGGTAAAAAAACTGCCTATTAATTTCAAATATGACGTCACTTTATACTAAAGTAAAGTACGGTTAATAGGTTCTCTTCTTTTGTTCTCGAATCATATATATATTATATATGTAAATATATATGTATATGGTCAACGTTTAGAGTAGGAAGCAATAAAACATAATTTCACCTTGCATACTTTGAAAATTTTGCAGAACGCTTATTATTATTATAAATTTTCATTTTCACTACCTTGTGATTAGATTTCATGCATAGAGATGCAAAGAAAAACGCAGTATATATATATATATATATATCAGGAAACAACGCTTTACTGTTTCTATTGAACATAAAAACTAGCAGAAATCTGTCATTAAGCAAAAAAAAGTCTTCGTTTTTGAAGACATTGAAATTTTACAAAGAAACTATTCACCGTTCCTTTCCCGGTAACTATTTTAGTGACTGATCATGTTAATACACTTTCTTATGCATAAAGAGATTAAGCTCCTTCTAGACATGAAACCACCTAAATTATCTCAACACTGCAGTATCATAAGATAACCTAGATTATAACAATTCGTTGGTTATTATGGAAATTTCACTCGCGTAGTGTTTGTATAAGAAACTTTGTCCAACAAAAATAAAACTACCGTGAAATATGTGAATATATAATTCAAGCTCAAAAAAACCTTCCTTCAAATTCAGCTTTCTACTGGAATGTTTTCTCACAAAATATTGTGTTTGTTCATGGTCTATGATATAGTTAAACAATGTGTTTTGTTTTTAGTTACTTAAATTGAATATTTGTTTCTGGTGTGCTGAAACTGTTAAATAATGCAGAAGAAGGCTATGGTTTTTAAAGAGGTAGAAAGTTTTTAACAAGAATGATACATGACTATTTATCAATAAGTTTATCATTTTGCCTCATTGACAAGAATGATACACGGTAGTATTTATCATAACAAGTATATTACAATAATCATACGTGACAGTATTTATCATTAAATGTTATATTACACCAGCAACATTTTACATATAGTTATGCTTTCGCTTTTTGTACCTCTACCTTTAATGTTGGCATGATTTCTATTATTGCAGTAGAAACTACATTTCTGTAGTATAAAGAGGTTCAAGAAACAAACCATGTTTATACTGACGAAGTATTCTATTGTATTTACTTTGCTCCAGGTTAAAATTCTGTAAGAACTGCAAGCTACACAGTTATGTTTTTAGTTATATCTTTTGAAATAAATTTTCTTGATGCTTGATAACGTTCTCTTATGTGTGCTGTACTTGAACAAAGGTGTTCGAACTGAAACTATATTCCGGAATAAACCAGAACGATAATGGTTTTACAGAATTGTCTACTTTGGTTAAGTTTATTTATAATAATAATTATAGCTTGGGGAATTTTTGACATTGATATGTTCTGTAAATGTTCGACATTTAAATTACACCAATTAAACTTAGCTCAAAAATCCATTTGGAATTACGGAGACAATATGTACTATAAACTCCAAGCACCTAATTTCTGTCACTAGCAATGCACTTTCGGTAACACTAACTACTTGAAGAAAACGTCTTTCGATGTTAACAGAAGATGATGAAAAGGCTAATTTGATGTAACTTTCGTTATTTTTTTAATATACATTTCGCGAAGATAGGAAAGATATAAAAGATTATCTTTTCGTAGACCTTTTTGGTGCCTCAAAATAATCGAATGGTCCACTTTTGATCGCACTAAAATGTTCAGAATGTAAACTTTTAACTTAAAAGGCCATCATTTAAACGCTACTGAAATTTCACTTAACTGTTTCTGTACTCTATAGGGTAAAAAAACACGCAAATAGGTAAGGTAACGGAAAGTGATCTCCTGTTGAATAAAAGGTGCACACAGGTAAGAAAAGCTTAACTTCTGCTTACTAAAATATTCAGACAGATATCAAAAGGTGATATTTTGGGAAATAAAAGATGCAAAAGAGAAAAAAAGATAAGCCTTTCGAAAAATAACAGATGCAAAAACTAGCAAAAGGTCAAGTACTGGTGTCCAAAATATACAAACATGTAATAAAAGACCAATTGTGTTATTGCAAAGAGGTAAGTAAAGGTCGATTTTGGATTGTAGAAATATACAAACAGGTAAAAAAGTCAGGTTTTTTATCATTATCAAAAGATGCAAACATATCATAACCCAAAATGTTCTTCTCCAAACAAAACATGATTAATAGAATTTCGTGATGAATTAGTATTAAAAAAATTAAAAGTGTGATAACATTATTCCATACAAAACAAATATTGTGTAATGAAAATTTCAGAGAAAGTGAAACCAGAAAAGGAATACATTTTATATGAAAACAATGTTAAATAAAATATTAAGTAAAATTAAAATAATATCACAAGTGAAGGAATGAGTCCATTAGAGAATACCTACATACTTAGAATAGAAAAGTTATTCAAAGTGAATGGTTGTAATTCTAGCAAGGCCTCCATCTTTAGTAATATTTGAATGAATCACTCTCTCTATATGTATCATATCCAAACAGGACGTTGGTGACCATGGTTTTCCATAGGTCTCTCTCTCTCTAGGTACCATATCCAAACAGGACGTTGGTAACCATGGTTTTCCATAGGTCTCTCTCTCTAGGTACCATATCCAAACAGGACGTTGGTAACCATGGTTTTCCATAGGTCTCTCTCTCTAGGTACCATATCCAAACAGGACGTTGGTAACCATGGTTTTCCATAGGTCTCTCTCTCTAGGTACCATATCCAAACAGGACGTTGGTAACCATGGTTTTCCATAGGTCTCTCTCTGTAGGTACCATATCCAAACAGGACGTTGGTGACCATGGTTTTCCGCAGATCTCTTCTCCTTGAGGTATAAAGAATTTCCAATATTGATACATTCATTCATTTAGATAGACTCTTGACATAAGTCAACCTCTGTCTTTCACGGTCTCTCCTTCCTTCAATCTTTCCAGTTACGACCAGACACATACCTCATTTGAGGCTAAGTCAGTCCGAGAGGTTTCATTTTTGAAACGTTCTTCCATGCTCTTTCATGTTCTTCCATGAATTTTTAACAAAGTGGACGAAATTGATATTTAACCTAATAATGGGCACGATCTTTTCAAATTCGAGCACTAGATTGACTAGTACTTTAAGCAGTTATTATTATTTTAACAAACATACTCAATAGGTCTAAATGTGTCTTTTTGTTTTTTGGATGAGCACCGGGAACTCCTTTGTACAGCTTTATACTACAGAAAAGTCTGAAGATAAGAGTCATTAATTATTTTGTTAGTGATGAGAACAAAATGGAGTTCATCAAGGAAGAGAATAATATTAAGAGTTCACTTTATTTGTGCACGTGCTTTGTTAACCTTTCGAAATTTTCACCTTACAAACTTCTTTTTACTCGACTACTAGAGGAAACCAGATTACCTACTTGCTTTTTTGTTCTGCCTTTAAATTCCCCAGTCTTATCTAACTTATTACGTTTTATATACTATACAACAAGATAAAACCAAGTACCTATAAGTTTGAGAAGGCCTTTTAACACCATTCCTATCTCTTGGTTTTTTAATAAAATTCCGCTCCTTTGACAACAGTAACAAAGTGGTTGTTGTAATCCTTTCTACATTCTACCGAGGAAGTTATTGCAGGCTAAAATGATAAGGACTTTAGTCAGAGTTTAATAGAATCTGTGGAAAATGAAATGTGAGCTCGTTATGTATGATCCTTCAAAAACAAATCATTATAAATGATGTAGTAAAGATGGCTTCTCTGGTGGTTTGGTTTGGAGAAAACTAAATT